GAAGATTTCTAATAAGAGTAAGGGTTCTCTCTTATCCCTCCAATTCTGTACACTGGCCCTGTTCCAAATGTTCAGTCCCCAAAGCAAGCAGAGGCTTCAGATTACAATGGGTTTTCGGCATCAGGCCAGTCAGGTTTCTAGCTTTGTCACTGACAATGGGTAACAATGACAAGGTCTTTCTGGCCTTGGTTATTTTTTAGGTGTGAAATAGGGTGGTAATTACCAGGCCTGAAGGCTGGTCAGTCTTCCAAGCTCTTGCATGGTCTGCTTCTCTTGTTTTTGCGTCAGCCCTTGGGCATTGTTTTTGTTGCTCTGTGTTTTTCAGTGTCACTTCCAGTCTTTTCTTTGAATGTGTGATGTGGTGGTGGTAAATAAGAGAGAGGAGGTGGGGAGGCAGGTACTTGATAGAGCTCCAGGTAGGAAACACTGCCCACCTTCCCCCATGCCCCTGCTGGGTCACAAGTCAGTTGCCAGACCATGACACTTTCTGGAAGGCACAGGTCTCACCCTCTGGGTGCCAGCCTTTCCTTTATGGAGGTTGGGTTGAGATCTGTCTCAACCTGTGGAACTTTCTAGAAGGCTCAGTTTTCAGAACCCCCTACTGTCTCCCTTCCCATCCAACCTATCATCTTGAAAGGTCATAGTATGGTCTTTTTAGGGACTATGGAATTTTCTAGAAGCCCTCACTCCCTTAGCCTCAGCCTTCCCTTCATGGAGGTTGGGTTGTAGAGCTTTTTGGAAGGCCCAGGATCTCAAAAATCTTCATCACTTTTCGGCCTCCACTCAGAGGGTCTTGGTTTATCCAGATGTCTTAGAATCTTCTGAAAGTTCCTTTTCCTCCCATCCAAAGAAGAGGCCCACCCACCCATAGAAGGATACTGTGTTTCTCTGTTAAAGTTTAAGGCCGTCATCTCCCAGCACCCACACCCTGTAGGTGGGAAACATCGCTTAGCCTCTGATTGGAAGGGGCCTGAGTATGTGGCTCTGCAGGGGTGGCCAAGAGAGCCCAAGGACATGTAGGGAGAGCCTGGGGGAGTTTGCTCTTCCTGGTTGAGAGGTAGACTTCTCTCCCTCACCATTTCCCTTCATCCCATCCTCTCTCCCTGGAGCCAGCTGGGCAGGAGGCAGGACAGGTCCTGGGTGCCTAGTCCCAGTAGCGGTGGCTGGGTCTCCCTGGGCTCTCCAGGCATGTGGCCCCCACAGTGCCCTCCTTCTCCCTGCAGGATTGGGGAGCTGGGAGCCACCTTGTGGAGGGGGCTGCGTGTGAGCTCTGGCTATCCCAGGGGCTCCCATTTGTTTCTGGCTGAACTCTTCTTTCTTACTCCTCACTTCTTCCCCCAGTGGAGGGTGAATTCCACAGGCTCCCCACAGGCCCCTTCAGAGCCAGCAGGGACCCATGGGCTCTGTGGGAAGCTCTGGCCCAGTGTGCCAAGCCTGAAGGTCAGTCTTCCAAGCTCTTGCATGGCATGCTTCTTGGGCATTGTTTTTGCTGCTTTGTGGTTTTCAGTGTCACTTTTAGTGTCTCCACTGAATGTGTGATGTGGTGACGTTAAATAAGAGGGAAGAGGTGAGAGGGTGGGGTCATGATAGAGCCCCAGGTAAGAAATTAGAACACCTGTGCTGAGGACCACTCCGCCTCAGAGGTTAAATGTTTAGCCTCAGTTTTCTTCTCCGTAAACAAGAGGGGTGTCCATTTGAACTCTTTGGAGGATGAGAATGACAATTTGAGTTCTCTAGAGTTGTTAGACTATAATTTTACATACTCTTCAGTATCCACTTTTTGGCTTCTGGTTTTATTATAGGAACACTGACAGCCCCAGTGACACAGTTGTGGGCTAAGAGGGAGAGGAAGACCACCCACAAATTCAAGATGTCTTTTCAAACTCCTTCTACAATAGTTTTTGGAATGGAAATTGGAGGAGTGCCTTTTCCTGATCGTCTTGTATCTGTCACAGAGCCCTGCCTAACCAGATGTCTTGGCTTCTGTCACAACCCCAAGTCTCTTTGTCCTGAATCTCAGCTGTGACCTAAAGACATTTTCCATGTGGCATCAACTCCAAAGCCAAAGCTTTAACCTGAGCAGGGTTCCTTAGCCTAGGCAGCAAACTTTAGAAGAACTTGGAAGTTTTCTTTTGGCCTGAGGAGCATGGCCAGTCAACCAGACACCACGCTCCCAAAGTACTTATGAACAGTATTTTGTATGTTTTTGCCAGGGTTTGGGCTGGTGGGCTCAGACTGACCAGATTAGGATCATCTTCCAGTCAGGATCAGTGGGGCTGCAGCGAAGGGAAGCTGGACATGAAGGGCGGTGTGTAAGGAGGGATGGCCTTCTGTGTGCCGGCTCCTTCATACCATAACCACAGCCTTTCACTCTGAGGGGGCTGACAGCAGTCTGCAGCCTTTCTGAGCAGTGCCTCGTCTGTCACTAGGGGACTTGGTACTTGTGGTTTAGTTGGAGCACCATCCTATGTGTGCTTTCATTTTAATAAGAAGAGAAGTCTTATTCCTACAAGGAGCGGACCCTCATACCAGAACACCTGGTACCGTGGGAGACTTGGGCCTGTGGATGTTCAGATGTAAGGCTGCTGTGGCAGTCCTGGGAAACAGGTCGTTGGGTGAGGGATGAGGAAGAACCCCAAGATGACAGTGTGAGCTGGTGCTGAATGAAATTGCATTGGCTTCTCATGACCAGCCTGGGCACTACAGCAGGGAGGGCTGGAAATGTATGGGTTCTTATGAGATCCTCCTTCGGTAAAAACTAAAAGTGTTCATCCAGGGACACAGAGGAGATCAGCTGTCCCCTGTCCCTCTCTGCTTTCTTATCTTCTCCAAGTCATGAAGAGCAGGACCAGCTTTGCAGGTAGACAATGGGCATCACAGAGACTTCAGCTGGGCCCAGGTAAAGTCACAGAGACTCGGGTCACTCTGTGGTCTCTGGAGTTCTGGGTTTCCCAAGAGGGTCAGAGTGATGGCCTGTCCTTCCCCACCACGGGCCCCACAGGCCTGGCACTCAAGCCATTGAGCACCAGGCTGGTTGGAGGATTATGCTTGAAAATTTCCCCTAAAATAGCTCTCTTCTCTGGGAGGATTCTGAAATTAAATGTGTTCATCGTTTGTAATGAGATTAATACCACTTGGCACAGATAGGGAACAGGGGATGCCAGCACCAGATAAGGAAGGCTGATGAGAGAACCCTTCTAGCTCTTGAGATTCTAGGGGCTTAATCCTGTTATTATTGTTAATACATGTAATTTAAAATCTCAATGATGCATATTTATAATGGGGCTTTATTTCATCTTTTCTAAACATCTGGGTCATGCATATACAGTGTTTCATAGTTTACAAAGCAGAGTGGTAACCCTGACACAAATCCTCTGAGCCATTTTACAGCTGAGGTAAGTGCCTGCCAACTCCAAGATGCCAACTCCTGTTCCCGGGCCGACCTGTGGTGGTGCAGTCTGTGTCTGCAGGGGTCATCTGAGGCCCTGCTAGGGCCTTTTTCTGGGCTTTTCTCTGACAGGTTAGCTGCGTGATCCTGAGCAAGGAGTCACTTCCCACACCCGCCTTCTCCCGCTCTCCCACAAACACTAGGTGACAAATGCCTTTCTGTGGATAGCCCCTTGAGCTCTGAGTCACTGGGTCATTCCCTCCTCAACTCCTCCCAGAGCGTAGGTTTCCAGAGCCATAGGGACTCTTGGCTGTGAGTGAATAAACCACCATGTATCTAAAAAACAGGAATCTCGGGACATGTTGTTTTTGTCTTTTGAGGTCAATTGTAATAGCCTTAAGGACACAGATGATGTTTGTATATTTAAAATATTATTTTTCAACAATTTGGGGCCTGGTCTAAGCACCTAACAGGACCTGTGTAAACAAATGCTAACCTCCCTTCTCCTGAGGGTGCAGCCATCTAAGCCTTCTTCCTCACATGTCAGGCATTTAATATGACACCCAGAAAATTCCCTGCATTTCTAATCGCTTCTGCTCCCTGTGGGTAATTACACAGAAAACCCATATTGCAAAGCCCTCAAAGAGAATTACAAGGAATTATAACTCTCCTTCTCACCTTACTAGGCTTTTTTTCTGATGGAGAAGCAGGCACATTTTTAGGATGGAGGTTGGGAGGGGCAGCCAACCTCCACCGTGCAACTGAGCCACATGCTTTCCAGGGTTCACTCAAAAATCAACATGGGAGCCTACCTAAGCTGGGGTCTCAACAGATGCTCAGCCATCGGGCTGATGTGGCTCCTAGAGCTCTGTCTGATCCAGCATCTGGTGAGGATGCTCAGGTCCAGAAATGGGACATGTTCAGCTCAATGCCATAAAACTGGTTCAAGCTGACTTGAGATGTCTATTGCCCAGGGATGCTTACCATCCTTGCCTGATGGCTGAGAAACACCACCTGGAATAATGACCTGGAATAATGATCAGTGACAGTTGGAAGATTTGCACAGGGCGGGACATCCACCGAACTGCTTTGCAACAGCAGGAGTAGAAACAGGCTATCATAAATATGCAGAACATTTTATGAGCCCCACAAATGGGACATGAGGTCTAACAGTGGGCTCAGCGTGCAAAGTCAGGCCTGTCTTGAGATGCTGTGGCTGAAATACTGGTCACCTTATCCTGGTTGGCAGCTATAGGTGGTCAGGAATGAGAGAAGGAAGAAATGAGTCACAATATCCTGCCCATCCTTACCCAAAGGGCATTCCAGTCTGTTGGTCTGTTGGAATGAGGATGCATGTGAACAAATGAGGTAAAAATTGTCAGGGGTGTCAGAGAAGTAACAGTCCTGAGGACCTCCAGGGACAAGAGTATAGGGTGAATAAAAGTACATAACAAAATGGTAATATTAACAATAGTTGCTACCCCCTTGAAGTGCTTGCTCTGTGGCAATCACTGCCACATACAACCTTATTGTCATGAAAGCCTTGAGGATGATATTATATCTCCTCATTTTACAGATTAAGATACTGATGTTCAGTGAAGTTATCACTTACCTAAGGGCTCTCGATAAGTTAATGGCCAAACCAAGATTCCAACGCAGACCTCTATGACTCCAAAGTCAGAGATTTTCCACTGCAGGGAAATGGAATGAAATGCAGTGTAGATTCTGACATCCAACAGGGCCCCATTCCACCATCTGCCAGCATGTGGCCTTGGACAAGTGACTCAACTTCTCTGTACTTCAGCTTCATCGTCTGTAAACTGAGGAGGAGAGAATGAAGTGAGACGATGCTTGAAAAGCACCTGTCGCAGTTCCTGGTTAAGGAAAGTGAATGATAGATTGATGGTGCTGTTATTTCAAAACCTTCATTGTGGGCATGGCCTCTCCTACCTTTGGTCAGCTTTGCTGATTTGAAAATCTAATATCTTCACCTTGTAATGAGGACAGGCTCATCTTTTTCCAATGTTCTTTCTCAGTCTTTCCAATCTCAGTAAATGACATCCTTGCTATGGACTAAGTTATGTCCCCTCAAAATTTACATGTTGAAACCCTAACCCCCAATGTGACTGCCTGTGGAAACAGGGCCTTCAGGAGGCAAAAGAGGTTAACCGAGGTCATAAAGGTGGGATCCTAATCTGATCGGACTGGTGTTCTTGTAAGAAGTGGAAGAGACCAGAGCTCTTTCCCTTTCTATCGTGTGAGGATGTAGTGGGAAGGCAGCCGTCTACAAGGCAGGCATTAGAAGGCCATCCTGCCACACCTTTCTCTCAGTTCTAGAGACTTCACAGGACTTTGTGCTGGCTGGTACAACCACGGTGTGATGATTGGATAAGCCAGAGACCTGGGTGCTGCTCTGATACTTCTAATTCCCTCGTGGCCTCACACTATACTAGATCACTTCTGCCTCCAAGACTTTTCTCCAATCTTCTCACTTCTCTTGGTTCCATTCAACATTTTTACTATAGATTTTTTCAAATCTCTGTAAGAGTAGAGAAGAAAATACTTTATACCAAAGTATTTATCACCAGCTTCGACAATTATCAACATGTGGTGAATCTTGCTTCATTTATTACCTTATCCACTTCCCCACTTTTGAAACAAACCCAACACATTGTGTAATTTTACCCATAAATATATCAGTTTATTTCTGTAAAAGATATATATTCAATTTAAAAACATACATATTCCATTTAAAAAACATAACCACCTTACCATTATCACTTCAAATATTTTAAATAATTTCTTAAAACAATGATATATACAGTCAGAGTTTATATTTTCATGATTGACTAGAGAAAAACGTATTTGTACAAAGTTTGAATCAGGATTCAAATAGGATTCATACATTGTGGTTGGCTGACATGTGTCTTAAATCTTTTTTATTTGTTCCCCTATGTCTTTTAATCTCTATCCAATGTCTTAATGAATAATTTGAATCATTTGCCCTGAAGAGCTTTGCAGAGTCTGAATTTTGCTGGTTCAGACTCTGGGATAGTTTAGCAAGTTCCTGTATCCCTTGTATTTTCTGTAAATATGTGTGTGCGTGTGCATGGGTATAGAGAAAAAAGAGAATATTCCATGTGACTGCATTTGTTCTGCTCTCTCCTTTGCAGGGATATGAGGAGCTAGGTATATTTTTATATCTTTTGGTATCTAGGAAGGTTTAGATTTGTATTCTAACTGCTATCCTTAGGTAATGTCCCACTCCCAGTATTAGTCAAGGTTCTCTAGAGGGACAGGACTAATAGGATAGATGTATATATAAAAGGGAGTTGATTAAGGAGTATTGTGGGGTGAAGTCCCACAATAGGCCGTCTGCAAGCTGAGGAGCAAGGAAGCCAGTCCGAGTCCCAAACCTCAGAAGCATGGAACTGGCAGTACAGGCTTCAGTCTGTGACCGAAGGCCCGAGAGCTCCAGGCAAACCACTGGTGCAGGTCCGAGAGTCCAAAAGCTGATGAGCCTGGAGTCCGATGTTGGCAAGCAGGAAGCATCCGGCACGGGAGAAAGACGGAGGCCAGAAGACTCAGCAAGTCGGCTCTTTCCTATTCCTGCTTTTATGCTGGCAGCTGATTAGATGGTGCCCATCCAGACCGAGAGCAGGTCTGCATCTCCCAGTCCATTGACTCAAATGTTAACAGTCTCCTCTGGCAACACCCTCACAGACACTCCCAGGAACAACACTTCGCATCCTTCAGTCTAATCAAGAAGTTGACTCTCAGTATTAATCATCACAGTCACCCTTACGTTTTGCTTTTAAAAATACTTTAATTCCCAACTCCTAATGCTTATTTTGCTGGTGCCTCTGGGTCTGTTGATGTATGGGTGAGATTATCTTCATCCCCATGTGTTTCCATAATTCTCGTCTCAGTCATTGCTTTCTCTCCTGGGCACAATTGCAATGGTCTCTGAACAGGCCTCCTTGTCTTCCTCCAGTCCAGGCTTCACCTGGCAGCTAGACAGATCTTTTTCAAACAACCACATATATTTATTAGTATTATTATTTGCAACAGGTTCTTGCTCTATCACCCAGGGTCATTGCGGCCTCGACTTCCCAGGCTCAAGGGATCCTTCTGTCTCAGCTTTTGGAGTAGCTAGGGCTGCAGAGGCATACCGCTACACATGGCTAACTAAAAATTTTTCGGTAGAGAAGGGGTCTCCCTATGTTGCCAAGGCCGGTCTTGAATCCTTGAGCTCAAGTGATCCTCCTGCCTTGGTCTCCCAAAGTGCTGGGATCACAGGCGTGAGCCACTGCACCTGGCCTAAACAATCATATTTTGGCGCTGTCCTGGGCTTCTCACTGAACTGAAAGTGCAATGCTGACGCCCTCAGAAAGGTTCTGCAGCCCCGTGTGGCTGTGCCCTCCCTGCTGTGCCAGCAGCTCCCGAGAGGCTCTCCTCTTCCCTGCCACGGTTCACCACTCTGCCTTCTCTGTATTTCCCACCCCAGGCCCTCTGTTCAGCCTGGTCCTTCTGCCTGGAGCATTTCCACCCAGTATTTGCTTGGCTGGCTCCTTCTCTCTCTGCAGCTCTCAGCCGGAGTAGCTCTTCCTCAGGGCAGCCGAGCCTGGCCTCTCTCACTATGACAGCTGCCCCTCGCCACTCCTCTCCCGCTGTAACCTGCTTGCCTTCATGGCCTCTGTCATGACTCAGACTGCTAACTTTCATTTGTGTGCATGCTTATTTCGTATTTGCCTTTCAAGGAGAGTAAATTTGTCCTTGAGTAAATCTTATAACTGTGTTCTTAGCATCTAACATAGGGGTTGAAACATAAGAAATGTTCAATAAAAGTTTGATAATCCATTGATCTAAATGACGTGACAGGAGGTGGGAGCAGCAGCTGGAATGAAAAGAGAGCCGTGGGAAGGCACAGATTTTAGCCCTTTGGAGAAACTGCTCTTCCCCTGGTCGCTCCTGATGGTGGTAGGGAGGGGCTGGCCAGGAGCAAGGGCAGGGAGAGCCAGGAGCATGGCAGGGACGTGAGGGCTGGGGGGACTGGTGTCCCCTCCAAGGGGAGGGTGTGAGTGCACATAGTTTATTGGGAGGTGAGGGAAACCCCAGGAGGAGAGATGGGAAGTGAGACAAGGCCTGGAAGCCCAGTAAGGGAGCATCATCAAGTCAGCCACCCCTGTGGGTGAGGGGTTTAGTCCCTCAGGGAGCTCTGGGAGCCAGCATGTCAGAGCTGGGGGACGGAGCAGGGCATGTATCCCCAGACACCTCTGACCTGCCAGCAGGTGGCAAAGTGGGATCAGGCAGACAGAAAAAGTCCTCGGGAGAGGACACACAGATGGGGTCAAGTCAGATCTGGGCAGAGCTCTGACAGCACCTGCACACCTGGAGACACCTGCTCCCTCATGAATCCAGCACTGGGGGATGCAAAACTACCCAGATACCTAGCCTTCCCATGACTGCAGACGGGCATCCTGACAGGCGGCCACGGAAAGGGTTAATCCCACTGCAGGCAGCAGAGGTCTTGCGTCCTGCGGATGAGCCTTCTGTGAGTGCAGTGGAGAGATCAGCAAGTCTGCCTCTCACGCCCACCTGATCGGGCTCTTTAGGGTGTGTTAGGTAGGGCACCTGCTCCATGAAAGAGCGGGATGACAACAGTAACGCAGCGCTTCTCCCCTCTCAGAGCACCTTCACATCTGTGATCTGTTCCCACCTTACAACTGCTCTGGCCAGCCGTGGTGGGAAGAAATTATCCCCCTCCTTTTATAGAGGATGGACTGAGGCAGAAGGGGGAAGTGACTCTGCTGTGGTCTGTCCAGAGCTGGGGAGAGGGGTTCGCCCTAGATTCTTTCTTGGAGATGAGCATTTGTGTGGGTGAAGCTCTTTTGCCAGAAGTTATGGGTACAGGGAGGAGAGTTCAGATCCCAGTGAGAATTCTCTGGTACTTTTTCCAAGCTGGCCAGGCAGGCGACAATCTTAGGAGCAGCCACAAGATGGCAGAGAGGCCGCACACTGCACATCAGATTTCTTTGGGGGCCAGGGGAAGCAGCCCAAGATGAGGATCTGCTTAACATCCCTGGAGACCCCTGAGGATTGCTAGAGGGCTGGCTGGGAGTAAAGGAGAAAACACAGGGGGAAGTGAGAAAGTGGGAATTCTACCAGCTACTTACTGTGTGACCTTGGGCAAGTTACTTGCCTCCTCTGGGCCTCGGGCTCCTCCCTTGTAATCTAGGGCATTTGGACTTAAAGCAGAATATTAGTCTTTTCCAATTTTCGCACTGAAGGAGGTATGACCATGAAGGCACCTTGGTATCTGAGCTCACCCTCTGGCTGTGAGGCTGGAGGTTGGGAGACAGTCAGAGGTGGTCGGAGCATGACTGAGACCACAGTGGCCTGACTGATGAATTCAGAGGAGGGTGAGGAAGGGGCAGGATGGAGAACTTTGAAAGGACACAGAGCAGAATGTGGGGAGTAAAAAATTGGGCAGCCGAGGCAGGGGCTGTATCTGTTCATCTCTCTATGCATAATTCTCAGTTTCAAGCTTCAGGAAACCACCTTTATTTTGGGTGTCCACCCACTGCACACACATCTTAGCTCACTGGCTTCTTTCTCCTTGTATAGCTGCTGACCCTTTCTGATTTTTTTTTTTTTTTTTTTTTTTTTTTGCTGACTTATGTGCTTAGGTGTCTCCTCCCCTAAAATGTAAGCTCCATAAGGGCAGAGACTCTGCCTTCTTGTTTATTCTAGATTCTTAGCAACTAGAATAGTTCCTGGAAAAAACAGTTGCTCAATAGGTAGCCATTGAATGAATGAATGAATGAATGAATACCTGAATGGTGAAGTAGACAAAGTCCTGAACTGGGAGTCAGAGTTCTGGGGCCTAACCCTAGAAATGTGCTGTGTGATCCTGGCGAAACCCCTTCCCTCTCAGTTTCAATTTCCTGATTCTTAAAATAAATTGTTGAGTCCCCTGATCAATTCTCTCAGATGTTAGAGGCAGAAGTTCCTTCTCCTCTAATTCTCAAGTGCTAGGGATCAATGAATACAGTCAATCACCCATCGTGGTCTACTTTCCCCTCCAAGACCAGCAGAAGCTGATGAAGAAAGCCCTTGGCAGGGAAGTCTTCCCTCATTCATTGGACATTCCTGGGTGCCTACTTGGTGGGAGGCTCTGCTCTAGATGCTGGAAGTCCAGAGGAGACCAAGTCAGTCACGGATACTGAGCTCTCATATTCTGGTGGGCAAAGGTGAAAAATAGTGGGTCTTCTTCCATCATTCTTGAAGGTAAAAAAGGCCAGGCTCTAGAGAAGGAAAACACTCTAGGCTCAGAGTCTTTCAAAAGGAAGACCCCCTAATATTAGGAAGATGTGGCTTGTGGGACTAGGGCCTCCAGAGATACCTGTGGACCTAGCTCTAGGGAACATAATGGGTGGGTGAATCTGAGTTTCAGCCCCTCACCACCCCTTCCGTGGCTGTCCTAGACCTGGTCACTGGGAAATACAGCCAGGTCTGCCTTTGGTGTGCTCCACCCATCTCATCGGAACATCCCAGCCTGGCATTCCTTTTCTTCAGTGCCTTGCCTTTGTTGAGGGATTAATCTCAATAGATGAACAGGTTAGAATCAAGGCATTAATGGCTGAATTTAATTACCACATAAACTTGAAAGCAGTGACTCTAATGGTAGAATTTCAGGCCCATCGACAGGTTAGGTCTGGGGAGAGAGAGAAGTTCTACCTCCTTTAGGCAGTTGCCTGCAATGACCCCAACTTCCTCTCCCCTCGGGCTTGAGCAAATAGACCTCAACCCTTCTCTAGAAACTCGATGCTCCAAGTGCAGGCAGAGGCTGCCCCATGGGCCTCATCCGGGAGCTTCTTAGAGTTGCCCAGCCCCCTCCCCCACCCCTTACCCCCGCTGCCAGACCTCCTAAATCAGCCTTGAAGTTAACTTTAAGGGAATTTGTGTACAGGCTTGGATTTGAGAGCCCTGGGCTGATATGCCCCTTGGTCCCCAGAATGATGCCTGTTCCTGTGACAGTTTGCTTTCCATGGCAACCCCTGCATGACCACTGCCTGTCTTTGAATTCCCTTGGCAGGGCCACACTAGTTTCTCATTAGGAGGCAGAAGAAAGAGAGGCGCCAGGACGCCTGGCTAAATGAGAAGGCTGAGACTTGTTAGCGTAATGAGCCAAAGAAGCTCCCTGAAGGAGCAGCCCTGTGTGTGGGGTGGGCTGGCTGATGGGGCCTCCTCAGAGGTGGGAATTCCCTCCTCATTGGTAAGTAAGCATTTGCTTCAAAGGAAATCAGGCTATGAAACAGCATTTGCAATGTCCACTATATATGTCTATAGAGAGAGCTCTCACCCTCTCCCTCAATCTCTCGCTCGCTGTATCATGGGTGCCAGATCCCTTCCCTTCACCCTTTCACATCCACACTCCTCCCTCTCTACCTACTCCCTGCTCTCTGGCTTCCTGATGGCCCAGCTGGCGGGAGAGAAAGAGAGTGACGGGGCACTCGTGCCCTCGCTGCTAAGCTGCTACATCTCCCCATTGAGGTGGCTCTTCCTTTCTTTTTTTTAATTGTACTTTAGGTTCTGGGGTACATGTGCAGATCATGCAAGATTGTTGCATAGGTATATAAATGGCAAGGTGGTTTGCTGTCTCCATCCCCTGTCACCTGTATCTGGCATTTGTCTGCATGTTATCCCTCCCCAACCTCCCCATCCCCCACTGTTCCTCCCTTGGCCCCCCCTCACCGACACAGATCCCAGTGTGTGATGCTCCCCTCCCTGTGCTCATGTGTTCTCATCATTCAACACCTGCCTATGAGTGAGAACATGTGGTATTTGGTTTTCTGTTCTTGTGTCAGTTTGCTGAGAATGATGGTTTCCAGATTCATCCATGTCCCTACAAAGGACATGAACTCTTCGTTTTTTTATGGCTGCAGAGTATTCCATGAGGTGGCTCTTCTTACCAGGCAGCCCTCCCACAAGACTTTTAGGCCTTCCAGGTCCTGGTAACTGCTCCCTCCTTCCCCTCATCCCTTCCTGTCGGGGCCAGGCATGGGAGGTGCTAACTGCACCCACTGAGACCAACCACAACCTACCTTGTTGGTTTCCTTAAACCCTGCCCCACACCTTTGTAAATTCCTTCTTCAAGCTCTCCTCACCTTCCTCACCCCATGAACGATCTGTTCCCCAATGGGTTTAATATGCCTGGAAAAAAGACTGGAAGGACATAAACTGAGTTAGAATGGCAGCCATGTTTCCCTTCAGCCACCACCTGTGTGGCCTCTGAGCTTCCAGCAACGCCGCTTCCTTTCCTTCAGACCTCATGGACACCGTAGGCCTTTGGACATGGTGGAAGCCAGTTGCATTGCATCCCTCAGTGTTTGTCTCCTTCCACGTTCCAAGTATAGAAGAGTCTATAGCCCAGCAGGGCCCGGGGACAGTGGGGTGCACAGGGCAGGAAGGGGCACTGGGCGGGGTTTCAGCCAGTACCATCCTGATTCTCCTGCTCTGGGATCAGTCTATCCAGAGTGTCCGTTATGGCATCGGGGTCTTGGCACCAGACACTGAAGTGGTGACCTTCTGTGATTCACTCCTCCGGGAAGGGAGACTTTCCAGAGGGCTTTGGTGTAGGCAGCCACCCAGGGCCCTCTCCTGTCCCAGCTCCCCCTTTGCTTCCTCCCAGTCTCCCTCCTGCCACCATCTCTTCACTTAGGCCATCACCACCTCCAGCTTGCCGTTCCTCAGACACACCAAGTACACATCCTCCTGTTCCTTAGCCTGTTGTTCCCTCTCTGTAGAAGACTCTTTTTACAGACATCCTCACGAGGCTTCTCCTCACTGCCTCAGTCTCTGGGAAGATACTGCCTTCATCAGAGAGGCCTTCCTTGGCCATCCAAGACACCATGGTCCACTCCCATCACTTTCTGCTAGGCACAGACAAGGCACTCAGCAAAGCTTCGTTAGTGAATGAATGAGTGAATGCTCTTTCAGTCACCTTAGGAAGTCAGTACTACATGGGGTGGAAGGTGGCTCCAAAACCTGCCAACACTCAGTGAGGAGGCTGGTCCCCTCCAGAATTAGCCAGGCATGGGAGTCCCACTTGGCACCTCCGCTATAAGTTATTAATGTCCCCAACCCAGGCACAAATGTCTAATGCCTATCGATGGAACACCACCCCTGTGAGGGGCCCCTGGAGTCACTCCTAGGAATGGGGCTCTGCCTTTATTTCTGTAGGGACAGGCATTTTACAGACCTTGAGAATGCCGACTCCCTTTGCCGAAGTGTGTGGGATTGCCTTTAAGGATCATGCCCTCTACAGGAAGGCTGCGTCCTGAGATGGATTTCTCCAAGGACAGTTGCAGGCCAGGCCACTAATATTTTAGGGAATCAAAGTCACAGGTTCGAATCCTGGCATGGCCATTAAATAGTTGTGTGGATTTGGGCAAATCACTTTCTTTCCCTGGTTATTAGTGTTTGCATTTCTCAGGAAAGTTCAGGAACTAAAAAATTAGGAATCCAGGGCTCCAGAGTCTGGCTATAGTACTTAGATTTGAATAGAGTAGGAAATAAGCTGGACTTGGAGATGTTCTGTAGTTTGGGGCCTATTATCATTCCTTACTTTTAGTTCTTCCCAACCAAAATCTCTGGGCGTCATTCCCCAGGACGCCCTTCTTCCCTTATTTCCTGCCTTTGCCCCCTTCCAGATCTCCTTTGGATCTTTGTACGTGCTAATCCACCTTCCCTAAATGTCCACCCCCCTTGTTAGGGACTGATAGGAGTTGGTGAATAAGTACTCCAAATAACTGCACTTCAGGGGAGAATTCTAAGGTCCTCATTGGCCTATTGCTCTAATTCCCATGGTTTCCTAGTAGGATTGAGCGCAATTACATTTGTTGATAACACACCTTTCACTGAGTGTCTTCCCTCCCTGTCTCATGACTCCATTCCCTACTATTTTTGGAGGATCCATTCCCAAATAAGTCACTTGCACTCCAATCCTTCTATTCCTGAAGACTCAGATCCATGGTTACCTTTTGTTGGAAACCTTCCCTGCCTCCCTCAAGTTGGTTGCTCGTGCCTCCGTCTTCTTGAGGTTTTTGCTCTGTATCCACCCTCTTGGTGGGCTTGAAAGGATCCCATCTGGAGTCAGTCAGTCCCACAGGGTGAAGTCTTTCTGATGTCAGAAACCCATGTCATTTCCCTTTGTGCTTATGTGTCCAATAGGGGAACCAAGCTGCTGCCCTCCTAGTCTAGTCTTCCTGCCTTTCTCAACTGTCCAGAAAGGCTCCTGCTACCTTGGCGAAGAACTCAATCAGTTTCAGATTTCTCTCCCTCTGCTTTAACCCCAGATTAGCCTGGGTTTGGTTTATAAACAGCTGCACTTCCTTGTAAACACCCTCCAAGTTGACCAGTTGCCCATCAATACTTGACACAGAAAAATACCCCTGTGGGCCCTTCCACCCACAACGATGCTTTCTGTCCTAACTCATCTCCATGCAGGTGCTGAGGGCCAGGGAAAGTGTCCCTCTCACTGCCCCACCCACTCCTGACTACATCTCTTCAGACTCACCTGCCTCCCAGCCCCTTGCTTTCGGTCTTTCTTTCCCAGGAGAGGGCAGGGGGAGCGTCTTGAGAGAGATCAGTACAATCCTGCCCTTTTGCCTCATTCACAAGCAAGATTTTTTTGCTTTCCCCTGCTTCAAATTCTCTGAAGGGAAGAGGGAGGGAGGAAGGCGGGGACAATCTGGTTTGGATTACATATTGATCTCTTGAGCAAGTGTATCCCGCCTGGACAGTCTGCTGTCTCAGAGACCACTCTCCTCTCATTCTGAGAGCCTGGTTATCGACCTGTGATTCATCCAGATCCCCGTGGGCTCTGCCCAAATGGATGGAGCCACTGCCCAGGAATTCTGTCTTTTAGAAAGCCAAAGCTTTGCCAGCTTCCTCTGTCTGCCTCATAGAGCCCCAGACTCTAGGTTCAACCTTGTTCTGAAGTTGCCACTGGGAGAGTAGGCACCTGCTGCCTACTTTGATTCCAAGTGCAAACGGCGTTCTGCTGTACCCTACACATCCCGCCGTTGCCTAAATGGCTCTAAAATATCATACACTCCACTGATCCCCAGTACCGAGAGCAAAACCCTTCATGCTGTAGTAGGCATGTTTGTTAACTGAATTGCTAAAACATCAGCGATCTGCTTTGGGTTGTTGGAGCATTCATTACCTCTTCAAATGCAAGTACATTATCTTAGTGCCCTTGATATATTCCTGTGGCTTTCTTTACCAGGGTAGCAGCTTGTCACCATGCAGAGAACAGGAATGGTGGGGAGTGAAGCACAGAATGGGTAGGTGTGGGGAGGGAGGGGATAGGTGGGAGAAGTGGAAGTAAAGGTGAGGCCCCAGGAATGGGGGTGTTTGTGCTGACAGTGGGGGTGGAAGCTGGTAAGGGGTTGGGCACCAAGGGCAACCCTCTTCTACTCCCTGCTTTCCCTGGGGTGGGGGCACTGTGTTCCTCCACCATCGTTTTCACTTTACTCTTGTTGGCATCATCCTTCCCCCTACACAGTGTGCAAAGATCCTGGTTGTCCTCACATGTCCCAAACCCAAAGTCTCCAGCCACCAAGTTTCTAGCACCAGTTCTGCCAGGTCACTTTTCCTTGCCCATTCCTGCCAGGGAGAGCAGGTGTCTGGGATTCAGGGTCCAGTCCTCACTCTGCCCTTGGCAGCCTCTCTCTCACCCATGGAGCCCATGGCCATAGTCAGCAGACTTGGCAGGCTCTTTGAATGGGGAAGCTGAGTGCTCCGGCCAAGCTCTGTTTCCAGCCCCCTTTCAGGTATTATCCCTGCCTCGGGCTCACCTTTGGACCAACATTCCCTCCCCCTTCCTCTCTCCCAGACCCCAGATTCTCGGGAAGCCAGGCTTTGTTCTCTCTACAGTGTCCTCAGCTCACCTGTCAGCCCAAGGCGGGAATCTTCTCTGCAGCTCTGGAAGGCCAGCTCCTCCCTGCCATCAGCAGCAGCAGGTCTGTGAGAGGACGCCCCCCGCAGAGTTGAAAGCCTGCTGCAGCCTCACCGCCCTGTGATGCAGCTGGGACCAAGCTGTTTCCCTTTGGGCTTCACTTTCCTCCTGGAGTCAGGTCTGTCTCATGCGTTTAACACCTTTAGAGTTCTTGCCATAGGGCAGGCAGTTACAAGCAAGTATCTCCTAGTGGAATCCTCATAGTTATCTGAGAGTAGTACTCTCATCCCCATTGTGCAGTGGCCCATCTGACTCTGGGGCTGCCCCATGAGGCACAGAGAGGTTCAGTAGCTTTCCCAAGGTCACAGAGCTGGAAATTGGCAGAGCTGAGTTTGGAAGCCCGACCAAGTATCTAGCTCCTGAGTTTCAACTCTACGCCGACCTCCAAAGCCTATCTGCTCAGACAACTCCAGGCTATTCCATCCCTTATGTGTTAGCGCCTGGCCTGGTTTCCCTGGATTAACTCATGCTTTTATTCATCCTCTCATTTACCATGCATCCACTCAACAACCAACCATCTCCTATGCCAGACACTGCTCCAGGTGCTGAGGGCATAGAGTAGTGTTCATGCCATCAAGGGAATTGTATTTAAGCTGGAGAGACAATAATAAAACAAACATATTATACTTACATATGTTCTATATAGTATGCTTACTGTATTCAATAAAAAATACAATGTGGCAGGATGTGATACTTGCAATAAAAAGATATGGTAGCAGGAGGAGGTGATGAGTCCAGGGAAGGCCTGTCTGAAGTGGTGATATTTGAGCAGAGACCTGAGTGAAGCCAGGCAGGGAGGCTCTGGGTCCAGGAGGGAGTACTGCAGCGGGCAGGGCCTCTCAGTGCCAAGACCCCGTGGTGGGTGGACATGTGTGGAGTGTGACGGACCCCCCCGCCACAATCTTTCATGGCTAGAAAGGGAGGGACAACTGGTGGGAGGGCCATTTTCTCAAGCAGACAGGAGAAGGTGGAGGCCTGGAGGGAGCTGAGTGGTGGAGAGGCCTCTCTGGGAGCATGAGAAGAGCTGAGACCTGGAAAAATGAAAAGCCAACCTTCAGTTTGCTTCTGAGAGACAGGCTGCACTAGAGAAGGGTGCAATTTGGAAGACTGCCTTTCTCTCTGTCCACACCTACAGGTGGGTAGGGAGGGCTGTGGAGGAAGCCTAGTGGTGCTAGGGAAGATCAGAGAGCGCAGTCCCAGGAGGCCAGCCAGGAGGGGAGGGTAGGGAAGTAGAGAAGCTGGAGCCATAGATATCAGAGATGGAAAAGACCTGCCAGGTCATTGAGTAGGTCCCCTGGGGCCCATGGAGGAGACACAGCTGCAGGAGAAACCCCGCCTGCTCATTTCATGCTCCAGCTGAGAGCTCGAGCTGGAGATGGGAGCTAGTTGAAATTAGATGGGAATTTATTTAAGGCTTTTAAACATTGACGTACTCATAGGGCCTCGAGAGAACCACAGATCATTCCCTCCACAGCCTGCCCCGAAGCTGAGGCAGTGACACATCTGGCCCCTAGGCTGCCCCAGTGAGCTGCGGAGGATGGGGGAAACAGGCTGCCTCCATCTATCCCCCTTTTGACCTGCAGACCCCTCAGCCCGGAATGCCACTGGCTGAAGTCAGAGTTACACCTCTTTCTACACAGGACGAATGTCTAAAGTGAGACAGATGTCATGTCCATGGAGTCTGTCCCTTTTGCACAAGCTTTCCCAGAAGAGCCATCCAACAACTTCTAGTTTTATCTCATTGGCCAGAAGACTTCTCTGGCCACCCTAGTCCCACACTGAGTGGAAGGGTGGATCAGATGACTCTAGCATTCCAGGGTGCCAAAATTCTGTCTAGGAACCTAGGAAAGGCAATTCAAGTAGCATTAAGAGATTGTGGCTTCCTTGAAGGTAGTAACTGTCTAATTTAGCTGTGATTCCCAAAGCCTAGCCTAGCACTTCACATAGTAGGTACTCAAATAATGCTTATTAAATGAACTAATTAGGTTATAAGTTCTTCAAAGGCAGGATCATATCTTCCTTGTGTTTATATCCCTTGTTCTTGGCAGGAATGTTGGAGAAAGAGATGATTGCATTATGCTGCACATGAAAGGTAGGGACTGTACCTTACTATCTGCTTACCCCCGTGCCTACCACAGTGCCTGGCACACATGGAGGGGCACAGTTGGGTTTATGGAATGACTTAACCCTTGGGTTGATCAAGAACTCTGGCCTCCTGCCTCCTAATTCATGACACATGCTTGATCTTGTGGTGCTGTTGGCTAGAAATAGATAACAGGTACCTTACCCTCTTGTTAAGGAACCAGAGTGTTTTCCTCTTTAATGTGCCTGTTCATCCCTAGCTAGAATTGTCACTGCCTGCAAATTGGAAAATGATTAAAGGCAAGCCTACTAACTGTCTCTCTCTCTGCCTCTACCCTGGGAAACTTCTCCATCAACTGGAATGGGAGCAGGCTGGGTCCTCTAAGACACCTTGCCCTGGGGAGCGTTTGCTGTACTCTTCATGAAGTCCAGAGCCCAGAACAGGAAGGCAGGGAATTGAGGCCATTTTTTCAAAGGTAGATTGTTTCTGGGAGGCAACCAGAGGGTGGTTCTGACCATGATGCCTCTGTTGGGGCATACCTGAGTGTGCTCAGAGTGGTCCTAGGAGCAAAGTTCCAGATGCCATTTGCTCCCTGAAACCCCACCTACTTTCCCTATCTGTGACTGCTCAGCACTTCCTGCTCCATTTGCTTTTTAATCCAACCTCCAAAAATAAGAAAGTTAACTTTCTGAACAGAATACACAACTTCATACAAAAAAGGAGTTTTGTCATCAAGAGATGTTGGTCAGACCCTAGGAGTGTTCTGGGAGTTTGTCATTAGAAAACTACTCATGGAACCACTATGCATCCTTTTCCTGGAGATCTGCAGAGAAGGAAGAACTCTCTTATCTTTTTATGGTGCCAGGGAAAGCATGAGGGGAGTGCTAGAAGGCCTTTCCCCCATCACCCTCCATCCCCAAGAGCCTGATGTTGTTATTCCCTTACAGAACATTCACTGCTTGTGTGCACTATGAACCCGGTGTGTTCCATGTGTGTCACACCATGAACCCCACAGAACTGTAGAGCAGTTCCCCTCTCT